TGATAGAGGCCCCTAGATTGCTATTTAGGGCTTGAGCCCGAAATCGTACGCCAACATCTCAGGCTCTCCGGGCTCAAGCCAAACCCTAAACCCCTAAACCCTAAGCCCTAAACCCCAACCCCTAAACCCTAAACCCTAAACCCTAAACCCTAGAAGCCCTAAACCTAAACCCGATCGTCAAATCCTGGGCCCTTAAGAATTATAAGTTGAATTGCAGCCAAGGTCAGGGAGATGGCATGCCACACCCTGGGGCGGCCCAGCATGCAGTTGCAGTCTGCACAGCTTCACCTTAGATAGCTCGATTCATACAAAATGACTGGACCGAGGCACCGAATTCCACGGTGAAAGGTGGCCGCATGTTCCGAGTGCTGAAGGAAATCTGCGATGACAAAGAGCGCACAAAGGAGCAGGAGATGCAGGCCCAAGTCCGAAAGCCCTTCGAAGCCCTAAAACAAGAGCCCTGGGCCCATGCTAATGTGCACCAGTTTCTGCATTCAGGTGACCGCCAGCGCCCGCTGCCGGACTGCAGCATCCTGCGAGGCTTTGCAGGAGCACATGACCGCCTTCTCGGAGGAGCTGCACACCAGTGCTGCATTGGTTGGGGTGGACGGGAAGATCAAGAACCCCAAGAAAAAAAAGATTCTCACCCCCGAGCAAGAAGTTGATAAGTCGACGGTTGCCTGCTTCAAGAAGCCCGAAGCTCAGTATTTCGTGGACGAGTGTGGTGTGGCCTCTGCTGTGTGTGTGTGTGTGTCTGTGTGAGGGCATGTATAAACTATATGGGATGCCTAGGATATTGAGTGACGAGGGCAAGCTGGCTGCTCACTTGCAAGATCTTGCAAAAGTCCCACACTCCACCGAGTTGGCTTCCTCGCTTGTAAAGCACAAGTGCGAAATCAAAAATATCCTCAAAGACTTCGACAGTGACACGAAGATTGAGAATCCTACGATCGAGACGAAGAAGGCCGCTGTGAACGCGGCCCAGCTCCGGATGAACCCGATTCTTAAAGACATGCGCGAAGCGGTTCGACGGATAAAGGCAGAAGGCCTCACGGTCAGCAAAGCAGCCGGTGCTGAAACAGACACCAACTCGGTGATGCCACTCGGATTGCAAATGAACTTTACTCCTTTAGGGTTTCAAGGGGTGAATAGGGGGGGGTGCAGATTAAAAAAGGTCTGGGGCTTATAATTGCACGGTTGTGGTACATGACAGGATTTGGTTTATATCGTACGCGTCCTCAACAGCCTACATACTAAAGCCGTTGAACCCCTCACCCTGGGCAGTTAAATCCTCATAACTAAGCGGGCCTGTGGCCCGAAGTATCTATCCTGAACCCGGCACAAAAACCCTTAACCTAAATCC